ACACTCTCTCCTTCTTTTTAAATATTCCGTGAGTTCCTCAGTTATTATCCCTTAATATCTACTGTTACTAATTCTAATTTTTCTCTTTTTGCTTCTTCCAGTACTATATATTCAAGTGTACATGTGACGAGACTTAATATTCATTTTATGTATTTTGCCTGTATCCTTTTCACTTCTGCTCTTTTTTCCCACACATATATGTAGTTTCACCCCATATTCTATATCCCATATCTGATTTAAGACCACATTCGTTCTTTTCACATTTTCTCTTACAGTCCCTTGTACTATCACTCCTAAATATGTAAAGTCCTTAACCACTTCTAATTCCTCTCCTTTGTCCCTCTTCCTTCCTTCTATTTTTACTCTCCAACTTCTTGTCGACTTGAAAACCACTTGTTGCATTTTTCTTCTATCTTCTCCCTTCTTTCTCCAACTTCAAGTGTAGTTGCCTCTCTATCGTTTCCTATTATATACTTTAGCATTACTCGAACAAGCTAGATAATTTTATCTTTAATTTATTGCACATGTAAGTAAAATTTACAGAAATCATTTTTTTAGATATTTGGCATATTGATGTTATGTATTGGTATATGGATGCAAGTTCAACTTCGTAATTACGTCGATATGAATTCCGAAGGCAGTGAGGCCGAAAGCCGAGCAGCTTTGTTAGCCATAGCAAGTCTGGGCGCAATTGTAACTTTGACAGCAACGCTTGCATGCTGCTGCACAACTCGCGGTCACCCAGCTCTTTTGTACCTGGTAAGCAAAGTTATACTTCGTTATTTACTATTTTGCTCATTGATGTAGTATAACGAACTTTACGTAATTTCACGAGGAATCGCGGGAATGTATTGAGAAAACATCGTTGATAAACATTAAATCGTATTGAAAAAAATTTTTGCAAATTTTTGTTTAATTAAAAAAAAAATTGGCTCTTTACGTGTAATTTATTTTCCTTGACTCTTTTCTCACTACGGACTACAATCGCTCCCTATTAAACGATCTATGTACACTACGATCGACTATATTCGTTCGCCTCGAAACAACCACTGTATGCTATGAGCAACTATAGTTGCCCGACATATAGGGTGTATAAAAATTTCTGATGTCTTTCTTTTTTTATGATTTAATCTGATAATCACCAACTGGTTTAAACTTGAACTTCATATTTTAGAATTAGTATGAAAACTTCACATTGATATTAAAGGAAAAAGTTATTTTCCATAAAATAATAAGGAAATTCTGCTTACAGTATGGTGCATTCTTAGCTGTCGTTGCATTAGTGGAACTTGGAGTTGGTGCATCGATTTATGCTTACCGTACTAATTTAAATGAAAAATTCGATACAAATTTGAATGACACTATGGCCGTTTATGGACAGGATGCCAGAAAGACTTCTTACATCGATACCATACAGTACACTGTAAGTAAACAAATTAGGTACTATAATATAGAACTATCGAATTGAGTGTAATAATTACGTATTCTTATAATTTTCTTGTTTATAATATACTTGTATATAATTTTTGGTCATTTTATGATTATTAAAGTTAATAATTGCAATTTATTGTGAATTATATTTTATACATTTAAATAAATTTCAACATTAAAATTAATGTTACTTTGAGAATAAAATATGTTTTCATTTGCAGTTGCAATGTTGCGGTAATAGATGCTACACCGATTGGTTGAATATGTATCCTCCGAAAGCAATTCCGCTCTCTTGTTGCAAAGTGGCAACAGAGACTTGTGATACTAACGACACAGACGACATTTATACTCAGGTAAGGTAAAAATTAGAATAACACAAAGTAAAATAATAAATAAGAAACGAAGGTTAAATTGAGGGGAGAGAATAATTATTAATCACTTAGCAAATACATAAAAGTACATTTTTAATTCTCGATATTATATTTATATATTTAAAAAACATGTATTGTTTATCAAATAGCATCTACGATTCCACTGTTATAGTCTGCAGATTGTACACGTTGTATACTTACGTACTCTTTAAAATTTGATTTTTGCAGGGCTGCTACACTCGCATGATGGATTGCATAGTCGGCAACATCGGCCTAGTCGCTGCTATAGCAATCGGCGTAGCTTTCCTCCCACTCGTAGGCGTTTTCCTAGCGTGTTGTTTAGCCAGCAACATCAACAAAGTCAAGTACGAGCAGGTTGCTTAGAGTTTGCGTCGCTCGCGAAAGTATCCATCATACCAGTAAGAGAAATCTGCACCGCTCGAAAGAACAGCGCGTTCCTATACAATTTCCATTCCGTACTAAAAATATTGAAAGTTTGCACGATTACCGACAAAGTCTTGTAAGAAATGAAACTTACGTATCAACGCTGCATCAGAATCATTATTTTTTTTTTTTTCTTTTTATCAAGTTTAACATTGTGATATAAACATCAAAGCATTGTTATAGAACGATGAAACCGAGATTAACAAATATTTTTTCATGGTTTAGTAATAGTTCCTTTCGAATAATTATATATTACTTATATACTATTAATTGATGGTATCGCATCAATGATTTGATAAAGGTTGCAAGTTTTGCGATGTATTTAATTAGCTATTTTTTTATTATTTTTAGTTAAGTTGAGGAAAGTCAACGGAGCATGCGATTTATAAATTATGATTTTAATGTTTCGTTATGAAGATAACTGCATGACATAGTATCGTGTTGAATGGTATAAGAAAACAAACAAACTCTTCATTTCATTCAGCCACAAAACAGGCGTACAACAAAACTATAAGTTATATTTACGATGTTTATTTTTTAAAGATACATTTCCATGATATTCACTAAAAACATTTCGAATAGAAAAAATAGACTTTATCTTTTGTTTATTTTATTTTGCAGAAAAATTTCGTTCACTGTGAGAACTCCAGACAAAGTAATAACAATACAAATGAAATAAGAAAATATTTGTTCTTTATTTTAATATAATTATATTTTACTTGTTATATGTTTTATACGTTCTTTTTCATATCTTAAGGCATAATTTATTTCACACTTAGTTATCGCTAATAACTAAGTTATGTTTATACTTTCTTACAAATCAAATTGTGTACAGTTTTTTAATTTCATAATACAGATAGTAAGTACTTACTTATATGTTTGATATAATTATTGTCTTCTGATTACGATTGTTCTTAGCTTACTTGTCAGTTACGCGTATTATTTATATTCTGACTTTACTTTGAAAAATTGACGCAATGTTTGCCTTTTAACATATATACGTATATAAGTGTATGGATATTTATTTAGTACGTATTTGCCTTGTAATGCTGCTACGTTGTGTCGTAAAACAAATTGTCGTCATAATTTCATTGTAATTTCAGCACTACCCTTTTCTCCTCGTAACTCTTTTCGAATAAATCTCATTATACGTGTACAATTTTTCAATATCGTCTTTCAATGTTAAAAAAAAAATTTATATGGTTAACGTACTTTTTGATAGTAATAATTGTGAATTATGCCTATTTTATGGAGATGCATATACGAATATACTTACATATATGAAGAAAATTGTTATTGCTTTGTTCTTCTTTGAACGATCTTCAGATAAACATTTTATCTAATTCTTTCGTATTAAATTAAACCTCTAACTTTTCAAACAATACGAATGTATATTAAAGTCTGAACAATCACGTAGTAATTAACGGTTATATAGACTTAAACTATTTAATTACCTTATTATTTAATTATACAGCT